TTTTCCTTTGTGTATGTAGAGGCCTACTAATGCAGAGGCTGCTGCTACACAAATTTTCTTTATCTGTATTTGTTCCTATGTATAGGATTCCAACATGTTCATTGTATTTCGTGCTTTCCTTCAGATGTCGAGGTCTTCATAATCTAGCCAACCATCAGAAGAAAGAGAAATAGGGAGAGTAGGCAGCCTTGTCTGACTCCAGTCCTCACTTGGAATGTTTCTGTCAGCTATTCTCCATGCACCACTTTACAGTGTAATCCGTCGTATGAACTCCGGGTGATATTGACGATCTTCTCGGGTACTCATTCCATAGTGTTGAATAAGTTTCCATAAGGTCGTCCTATCCACACTGTCAAACGCCTTCCCATAATCGACTAAGTTGATATATAATGACGAGTTCCACTCAGCTGATTATTCGACGATGATCCGTGGTGTCTCAATTTGGTCTGTGCACGATCGATTTTTACGGAATCCAGCCTGTTGATAGCGGAGTTGGGCGTCTACTGGGTGTTTCATCCGTTTCAGAAACACTGTTAAAAACTTTTCCTGCTACTAGCAGTAGTGTGATGAGATATCCTTCTTTCCAGTCCATCGGCACTTGTTCTCCCTTCCAAATCTTTCTGAATAGAACGTGGAGCATGTTTACAGTTACTTCGATGTGCGACTTTAGTGCTTCGGCTGGTATATTGTCAGGTCTTACTGTTTTCTCATTCTTGAGTTGTTTGATGACCATCCTGTCTTCTTCGATCGTTGGTGTAGTAACAGTCATAAGAATATCTGTAGGTGCTGCTTTGATGTCCGGTGGGTTCAGTGGAGCTCGTCTATTCAACATTTTGTCAAAGTGTTCCACCCATCTGTTCCTCTGTTCTTGAATCTTTGTCCTTGACCGGCCTCTCTGGTTTACCATATTTCCCTGCTAGTTTCTTCGTTGTATCATATAGCTGTCCCAAATTTCCTTCTGTTGCAGCTTTTTCCGCTGTCGTTGCTAGGTCTTCCACGTATTTCTGCTTGTCAGCTCTAATGCTACTATTCACTTGCTCGTTTGTTTCTTTGAATTCAGCTTTTGCCTTGACGTTTTCTACTGTTGTTTGGCTTTTGTTGATTACCGTTTCCTTGTTCTTCCTTTCTTGAATCATGTCCGGGATTTTGATAGAGATCCATCTCTTGTGATGATGTTTCTTGCAGCCCAGCACCTCCTAACACGTTGAAGTTGGTGCTTCTTTGAGTTGATCCTGTATTGCTTGGAACCTGTTGTTCAGATTTATCTTGAATTGGTTGAATTTGTCAGTATCTCGAAGGAAGTCTGTACTGAACTTTTGTACTTCTGTTTCCCCAGCTGTTCAGTGTCTTTTTAGCTTCAGTTTCATAACTGGAGTACAGCAGCATCTCCCGTATCTAGCCTTCGCTGTTCAACTTGGGTCCAATGGGTTTTGCTGATTCCCAGTACTGCCAAGTTGTATCTCCTCATTTCTGTTGCTATTTGGCTGGTCCTCCCGGTCTCCCACATTGTTCGGGCATTTCATGTACTCATATTAATTGTTGCTCTGGTTGTTAAAAGGGCCATCGGCCTCGTGACTTCCGAAGAATCTCGACTTTCATCATGAGGTGTCGTAATTCTTCCTTGAACTCGGAGCGCAGAGTTGAAACGGCTTAATCTGGTTAGCGTTTTTTAGCAAGATTTTTTCCAACGGGATGGGCTTTCTGACAATATGTCCAGCCCTCCTCCTTTGTGTGGGCTTGTGACCGGCAGTAACTCTAAGAGAGCTACAGGCGGTCTCGCACGTGAACCCTTAATCTCTGGACCTCTGAACCGGCATCCATTGGTGTCAGTGTCTACATTCAACCAATCTACGATATTGCACGACCATTTTCTATTGTGCTTGGTGAGTAACCGCCTCACGCCCAACAAGGTCGAACTCCACTGGTCATGGCTTCTCACTAGAATTCTAAGACTCACCCCTCGAAGTTAGTTGTTCGTGATTACATGATAATAATCAGTGTATGGTTGTGAAAATTGTTGGATTTTCATTGAGATCATAAACCGATCAATGTTAGGCCACGATTGTAAACCTGGAAGCGCACTGCTTAGGAGTCTCATACTAGAATGAAACAGGAGTCCACTGCTTCAAGGTTGTTAATAGTGGTCTAACATTGATCGGTTCATGATCTCTTTCTAATTAGCTTATAATCTGGTTTAAATGAACTAACAGTTTTCTTCCACATACCATTGATTTTCTCATTTAAATGAATGACATTTAAAAGATAATCTTGTATTAAGTAATTACAAAGCAGATAATTTAAAAGATCTAGTGTTCATTATCATGTTGCATATTTTTCATTCATATCCGTCAAAACATAATCACATTTTAATTTAGTTTTAAAAAGGTCGATGGCTACGTGACATAACAAAATGGATTTCAGTAGTTCTATATATGTATTAACTTATCTACAATTTGAAAACTTCTAACTGTAAATGTTGTAGTGCAGTTAATCAGAAGAGATTTATAAAGCACTGAAACAATAAATTGAAATATATTTTGAAATAATCATGAATATTTATGTCTTAGAAAAGTTTTGCTGATTTAAAATTGTTCTGTGTTATACTTAATATTTAAGGTGTAAGTTAAAAAGTAATTATGATATACTTATTGAGTCAGAACCTTTAATACGAACATGAAGACGCAGTTCTACTGTACGGAGCTGAAACTTCGAGAATTACCACAGCCATCATCAAAATAGTACGAGTATTTATATGCAGTTGTCTAAACAAGATACTTAATGTCCGTTTATCGGATACTATCAGTATTAGCCTTTTGTGGGAGAGGACAAATCAGCTTCCATATGAAAAGGAAATTAGGAAAAGATGTTGGAAGGGGGTAGAACATACACTGAGGAGATCGTCAAATTGCATCACAAAGTGTGCGCTAACTTGGAATCCTCAAAGAAAAAGAGGAAGACCAGAGAACATACTGGACGCGGAATTGGAAGCAGACATGAAAAGGATTGTCCAGGATACATAGGTGGAGAATGATGATGGGAAACCTATGCTCCTCCACGAGGAGTAACGGGAGTAAGTGTTGAGTCATTTTTAAGTTCTTGACAAAATCTCCAGAATCCGGGAAATACGTCTGGAACATTCTAAATAGTCAGCGCTCTTTAGGAAATTCTAAAAAATCTAGAAACTACCTACTTAAACCTTGAATTGATCTAGTTTGAAAATTGCCGGATTTTATTATCAAAATTTTCTAGAAGCTTTCGTTTTCTGTACATAAACTGACTAAAGTAGAACTTCTCCCTTGTTTTCCGTTCAAGTAGTTAATGCCATAAAAGTCTAGGAAGTCAGTATCAGAAGTGTTCAACGTACTACATTCTTGAGTATTTAATATCATTGATTGCTTTTCTGCACACACAGAGTAATGAACATATTGAGTTACTCCTATGACTAATAAAAAAAAATCGAACGGACTCTTTTGTACAGTTCGTATGTATTTTTCCACTTCGACAAGCCAATGTTTATTGTGAATGTATTATGTAGCTGCTTGACTGTAGAGGAGTTGAAAATTACTAAGAAGTTGACCTTCTGCCTATCAGTCAGGAGAAAGAATTGATAAGTTTTTTTTAAATGGCCTAGGAGTCAAGTATCATCAAGCTCTTAACATAAAAACATTCTCTCCTATCTTGATGCATGATCCGTCATTTTCTATCCTTAAGTAATGTCCACGTGTGACTTTTTAAAATGAAGCTTTGAAGTGACCAATTACGATTGATGGAGATTATACTCTATGATACATCATTATCATATACCTTCTGAGCTTTATGAGTAGCAATTTCAATACATCGGAAACTTGGAGAACTACGAAAGCCATCATCCAGAAGATACAAGTGTTTATTAACAATTGCCTACGCAAAATACTTTGGATCCGTTGACCAGACACTATCAGCAACAACCTACTGTGGGAGAGAATAAACCAGGTTCCAGTGGAGGAATAAATCAGAAAGAAGCACTGGAAGTGGATAGGACACACATTGAGGAAAGCACCCAACTGTGTCACAAGGCACGCTCTCACATGAAATCCTCAAAGCTAAAGGAGAAGAGGGAGACCAGAGAACACACTACGCCAAGAAATGAAAACAGACATAAGAAGAATGGATAGAAGTAGAAAGGAAAGTTCAGAACAGAGTGGATTGGAGAATGTTGGTCAGCCGCTTATACTCCACTAGGAGTAACAGGCGTAAGTAAGTAATTGTAATACATCTATCTGAATTATAAATTTTTAATGAATATAATTAGTTTATTGGTGATGGTTTAAATTACACAATGTTCAATTATTTTCTTAACTTTCAGTCTTCAGTAATAAGGATAGGAGGTCTGTCGGCCTATATTAATGTTTGCAGTTTGTAATACTGTGGAGGTCCAATCTCGTTTTGAATATATTAACAGACGGTGCTGATATTACGTGTTCCGGTAGGGAATTCCAGTAATTCACTACTCGGTGCGAGAAACGGAACTCCAGACGTAAACGGTTTGATCTCGGTTTCTGAACTTTCTTCGAATGTCCTCTCAAATGATCAGTTGTAGACGAAATGAAAAGATAAGACATTAATACCAAAGTCATTGTTCAGTATACGATAAGCCAATATTAGATCACCCCGTACTCTACGGTAAGATAACGGAAATAAATTAAGGTGTCTCAGTCTGTCTTCATAAGATAGGCTAGCTAGACCTTGTACCATCTTAGTAGCTCGTCGTTGGACTCTTTCTAGCATATCTGCTTCATATTTGAAACAAGGACTCGCTGCTTGAATCCCGTATTCTAAATGTGGTCGCACATAAATCGGGTATAGTAATCCAAACATTTCATCATCTAAATACTGAAAAGACCTACGAATTGACCATAATACCCTATAGCCTTTTGCAGCAGCAGCAGCAGCCTTACAGTGACTAGTCGTTTTGAGATCATTGCTTAATATAGTTGTTTAATTAAAATACGTCCATAATATAAACTTATTGATTAGATTTTTTTTCTTCAATAAATTAATAAGAATTAATGAGAGAAACAATAATTTAAAAACGAATCATAAATGAGTTCATTTTACAGTATAAAACAAATTAGTACCGAAATCAATATTTCATTTATTGATTATTGGAATAATTATTGATTGTTTGAATGTACAAATAGATTTTAATAAAAGTTTATATATACAATCAAGTGTAATTATCATTACAAGGTAGAATTAATGAAAAGAAAATAAGACAGAATCATTCATGTAAATCTATACTTTCTTTTTCGTAAATGAAAAAAAGCTTTCGAAGAATTTACATTTATTTATTTACTAATCACTTTTCTATAACCCTATTTATGTTTATATTGTACAACTGAAAAGTAAATGAGAAAGTAGATGGAAATATCGAAAATCTGTTCAAGTATTTTGATTCTCTTTGATCACTAATTCTCTGTTCGTATGAATAGAAAAGAATCAAGTAAGAAAAAAGAAAATCACCCGTAGACACGTTTCTAACAATAAGATAATAAAACATGGAACTATGTTGTAGTTTGTAGAGTTTGATTTATGATGACTTGTAAGGATGTTTTAAACAATGAAAACGGAATAAATACTATATTGGCCTATAATAAGTACAGTGTCGACAATGAGGAATATAGAATTGTTAACATCTGTTATGGTAATGTAGATAATAATGAGTATTACGTTCAGATTGTACTTTCATATGGTTAAATAAGCCACAGAATAACACGTATTTGGAAATAGATGCCGGGGTATCCTGTTAACTTGAGAATAACCATTACAGTGTAAAGAAGTGTTTTTCACATTATAGCTCAGGTTACTAAAGAACTAGGTGTTTGGTTATAGAAACAACGACCAGGGTATAGTGAAGAGTGATTTTCGTCCGGTTTGAATTATTTTTTTATGGTTAGCGTTTTTTTAGCGAGTTAGTTTTCTACAGGATGGGGTCGCTAACCCCATGTCCAACCCTCCTCCTTTACCCGGGCTTAGGACCGGCAGTAACTCTAGAAGAACTACAGGCGAACGTCAAGGCAGTCCTACTATACGGAACTGGAACTTGGAGAACCACTACAACCATCGTCAAGAAGGTATAAGTATTTATAAATAGTTGTCTACGCAAGATACTCAACATCCATTGGCCGGATACCATCAGCAGCAGTCTACTAAGGGACAGAAAAAACCAGCTTCCAGCTGAAGAGGAAAGTAGGAATAGTAGATGGAAATGGATAGGACATATATTACATACATCAAGAGGCAAGCCCTAACTTGGAATCCTGAAGGGAAGCAGAAAAGAGGAAGGTCAAAGAACACATTAGGTCAGGAAAAAGAAGCAGATATGAAAAGGATGAATAACAACTGGAAAGGATTGCTCACGACAGGGTTGGATGGAGAATGATGGCGAGCGGCCTATGCTCCTCTACGAGGAGTAACAGGTGTAAGTTTTCGTCCTAATTTGGAACTCCGCATACGCCGTTAAACTAGGTAGAAATTAGGACCTTTATGTTATGTGACAAGTAACATTTCTTCAGACTATCAAGTTGAAATCCACTTGTCTCACTGCTAACTTGGATGATTATATTATTCACAGCTTCACACTAGGACTTTAGGTCTGAAAAGCACTGAAGTTTAAGATATGCAAGAAAAAGCTGTTCAGCCTACCATAGCTTTCAATGATTATCCATTTGATATCAGTTTGTTTTGAAAATTACCTCTAAGTAGGCTGAATTCCATTATTTACTGTCGGGATCGAAAATGTTATTACAAAAACATGTTATTAAAGTACTTTATAGTCATTTCCTTCCATAATCTTGAAGAATAAGTTTCAGGTATCATTTTCAAAGGTGTTTGATCCAATTTTGTTCATTTAATTAACTATTAAATCAACATGATCTTAGTTCATATCATTTTTGTTTTGTTTTCATTTCAGGATAAGTAAAGAATATTAAGAAAACAACTTTAGATTTATTGCATTTGACCAGTTAACAACACTATCACAGCAGGATACATAGTACAGATAGAGATATGATAGTTTGTAACAATATGCATTTTACCATGATACATATATAATGAACAAATTTTCATAAATATTATGATTATAAATACTATTACTAATAGAATGTATACTTTGACACTTAAATAATATAAACAAAAACAACACTCATTCAATATGAAAGGCACAAATGAAACAATCGATTAAGTGTGAGGAGTTCAAGAGTATGAGTATAAGTCACTAATAGTACATATGACACTAATCAAAATCAAACAACAATAGATGGACTTAAAAAGTAAGTAAGTACTCAACAACAACAACAAAAAATTGAAAATAAAATAAAAACAAAGGATAAGAAAAAAAAGGTCAAATTGATAAGATTACGTAATAAATTAGAAGAAAAAGGCTTACGACCATTACAATTATTATTAGTAATACGTTTATATATATATATACAAAATATAGAACACCAAAAATATAAATGATTAAAAACCATTTAACAAAAACAAACAACTACAGAATATAAGAAACTATAAGAGATTATTCACTTTCCAATGGAATTCATACTTAAGAAATCCAATTTCATTATTAAGGTATTTTCACAGTTGAAATCATGAATCAATATCTAAGTTAATCCAGAACATTATGCGTGGGGTCCTGGATTCAAGTCCTGCATACATGTGCAACTACTAACTTAGATCGATTTGTGATTTCAATGATGAAAATCCGAATTTTGTACATACACTTATTTTGGCTAATAAATAAGAAAAAGATAACAGCAGAACGTAATAGAATTAAAGGAAGTAAGAGATTTTTTGAATCCAAATATAACATTATTAAATAATGATTACAATTAGAGAAACAAATTCATAGGGAAGACAGAGAGAGAGAGAGAAAGAGACTAGAAACATTGACATTTCCCCCATGATAAATACACTAAAATTGTAAAGAAATATGAAAAGGATCAAAAGTGTGAGTAGGCAATAAAAGGAATAGTGCTAGATACAAATTACATACACATAAACATAGAAAGAATTGTTCAAGCATTGAAGAAGTCTTAACAGTTGGATGGTTGGAATTATTATTGTTTTATTCTCAATTCTCAATAAGAAGGGATTAACAAAAGAAAGAAAAGGTTTACGAAAATATAAAAAGAGCAAAACAATTTGATGATGAGAACAAGTGATATTGAGATAGTTTATACCTGAGCAATATATTGTACGATATACAATACAAATTAATTGTTTTACAATTTGTACATATAATGTACAATCAAAAAAAGAGGACCTAATTCGAAAAAAAAAACGATGAACAGTGATCGTTAATTTTGTCATACCATAACAATTCATAGAGCAAAACAAGTTTGGAATAGGTTGAATCACAGTGAGAGAATTTTGTTGCTATGTGCATGACATATGTATGTGGGGGTCAATTTACAAGTTTATTGTGAATGATACAGTTGAGAAACATTCATTAATATTATTATTATTACTAACGTGATTGAAACCTTTTTCTACCTGAGGTGACCAGAATGGAATTGCTTACGCAATTTGTTCAAAAGACCACCACCACTAACACCAGCATTAGAGTTCGAAGTATTTGTATTTGATGTTGAAGCGATTGGTCGATTTATTTTGCTATGTACATTTGCACCATTCGGAGATGGATGACTCATATTACGTGGTTTAAAATTAGATAATGCATTATTATTATTACTACTAGATTTACAGTTTGTTTGACGATAACCACCACGTCGTTGCATTTGACGTGGAGTAATCACTTCAGTAGTCAAGGTAGTTCGTCGCGCTGTTAGGAAGAAAAGAAATTCTGCGTAGTATACAACGTATTAAATTTAATGACTTTGAAGAATCAGTGACATGCCTGATCAATTGATATCGTTGAAAATAAGAATACTAAATGAATTACTGGGAAACTTCACTTAGGCAAGGTAATTTAGTCAAGCTCACCAGATCTAATACTGTAACAAAACGAAGTGCTCGTTAAAGACAGAGAAATAACTAAAATAATTGTGTTTATGCAGTGTGAAGTGTTTCATATGATATAAATCCATAAGTTGGCAATGTTAATAAAATTAGAAAGCTATAGAGAATTACTTGCCCCCAAATGTCCTGGTACGGCCGAGAGTGGGGAGAGTCCGCTTTCCCTCTCGAAATGCTCTCACATGGCCACGCATATATAGCCTCTGCCAGGGAAGTCCTACTCACTGCCTTCTCGTGGCGGGAGTGTTGTTTACGAAATTTAGAGGACGAAAATCGAATGTCCGACGCATTAACCGGGTTGATGAATATGAAGGATCCACCTAGAGGAGTTGGAAAACCCTGATTCCAAACTAATGGGGCACATGGACTCTAGGATCCTGAAGGAAAAAATGGCGTATCAACCAATTGTTGATCACCGGCTACCATGGGACTGCATCGCCTGACGTTACCCCGCTGACTTGTGGATTAGACTCTTGGGTCAAAGGCTCGGGGTGTGGCCCCCCGGGAGAACCAGATGCTTGGGCACCCGGGAAGTATCCCAGCCCTCACAGAAACCGAATGATTTATGTGATGCATATCTGTTTGGTGCCTCCTTGTACCAATGTTTATGTGTCCGAATAAATAAAAAGTGAGGAAGAGTCAGATGAAGTTCTGTGATAATTGTTGAGGACAGTATGTTCGTAGGATATTTAGTCTCTTAAGATCCTGGAGCTAATGCGCACCCGTGATTCGAAATTAGAACTTCCTAACTTTATTAGGTAAAACCTTCGTATTTCAAGACTCGATTTAAAAGTCAGATGCTAGTTTCTGACCTCTTACTTTATAGAGACGCCTTCCAATGTGTGATGATAGGTGAAACTTCCCTGGAGGAAGCAATAAACGAGTATTTTAAAGAGGAAGAGAACTTTCTCAATTCTAAACCTCCCCAGTACATTTAGAAGCTCTAGATGAGATATCTATTAGCCGAAATCACCGGTATAGATATATTCGCTACAAAATTCAAACAACTAGATATTTATTTCCAATTGTTCGTATTTTCGCAATAGTATGTTTATAGTTTAATCAACCGCTGATTTACATACTCCTATTATGGACTAATTATGAAATACATTCCCGTTGGTATATAATATGCTATCAGATGATCGTGAAAATACTCCTCTAACCAAAAAACGTTGACGACTCGAAATTTAAGAAAGCTACCATGTTTACATGATAATGAGTGTGGAGTAGTAGATTCATTTGCATGACTCTTGAATCTAAGTTTATTACTTGTCAAAAAAAGTTTGAAAATTATTAGTAAATTATGGTAAGTTTATTGAAACACAACTAAACAAATAATCATGTATTATTCAACCTTGGATACAGATTGTAAAATGTTTTTTGTACGTATGAGTGCAGTTGTTTGTGAAAATCTCTTCACCTATACACTGTATATCGCAATAACCTTCTGTCACATTCTGAATATGAAATTACATTCGGTATTTCCATTTTTGTGTTCTATTTGTTCTTTTTCTTGGTTCTAGATCAAACTACTATTACCATTACAAGGGGTTTTGTGGAGATTTTTTCAGAAATTTCAATAGTTGAAATCATAAGTCAATTGAAGCTAGACCAACATGGAAAACCTGCAAGCACTGGACGGCGGTTTCGTCATAGTATGGGACTCCTCAGCAGTGCGCATCCACGATCCCGCCCCCCGCGAGATTCAAACCCAGGATCTATCAGTCACGCGCGCGAGCGCTTAACCATTAGACCACTGAGCCGGCATCCAACGGTGTTAATGTCTAACTTCACTTAATTCACGAAGTTGCACCAACGTACACCATTGTCTTCAGTGAGTTGATATCTCACAACAGACCTGGTTTATTAACTAACTTTCTAGTTGTTCTTTGACTTTACGTGCAGATCGTGAAATAATTCGATCTAAACGTTTTGTTTCTTCTTTAGATAATCGATTGTAAAAGTCACACCATATTTCATCTGGTTGACGACGAATATTATTATCTAATTTACTTGCAATTTCAGCTTTCTTATTATATCATTGTTATTAATCGGCCTTTATTAACCTTTTTAGTTTGAATTTACTTAACCACTTTCCTATGAGAGCTGCCATAATGCTTTTTCAAAGTTTGAATTATTGCATCTTGAGTTGATTGAATTGGGCTACCTTTTGAGGGTACAATTACATTTTTAGATTGCATGAGGTGTCTTTTTTTGTTAAACAACTAACGAGTTCATATTACTTAAAAGCTTAATTAAATGATGTTCTTACATTTTGATTGTAAAAATTGTTGCAAGTTTGAGTTTGATCGATGAAATTAATTGATCGTTAGATGACAAACTTACCCTCCTTGTTTGTCACAGGCGTATTTCTTTTGTGACAAGTAACTATTTTTGTGTTCTTTAGCCAGTTATCTGTTTAATATATTTTATATGTGATTGCACAAGCTTCACTGAACTCATTGGCTGTATACCTCAGTGATGCAATTTTTTTTGAGTATTTTGCATAAGTTAAATTTATAGTCACATTGAATAGTACCGTATATTATCCTACATTTGTGTCTTGGTTTTACGTGTGGGGAATAATGAATCCGAACTACAGTAGATTAGACGAAACACAAATCAGTAATAAATAGAATAACAATAATTAATAATCATGTATTTCATTTGCCAATTACATTTTTGCGTACTCGGCCTTAAGATGTGAGAGCTGATAATGCCATGCTGATGTTTTCTGGTTGGAGGTGGTCAGAAAGAAACATTGCATGTCCTAGGTTTTGTACTAGTTAGAACTCGTCAACAAGGTGTATCTGTAACCATGAAGGGACTGATGGTCCTGTGGGATTCGAACCCACTTCACCTAGTTTTAACATGAGATGTTACTGCTGGGTCATATTCTGATCACATGTTGAACTTACATATTTACAATTAATTGATGAATGAGTAATGACCAATGTAATTTTTATGTAGTGCCTTAATGTTGATTGAACTTGAACGACAGAATTCGATCAACAAGTGATGTCGAGTCACTTCGACTAGTAGCTACACTTTAACTTGCACGATAGAACACCATGAACATTAAGAGGACTAGACAAATATTACATCGATCAGTACTCAATAATCAATCAGTTGTAGCTAATAATATTAACTGGATGTAAAAAAACAATACAAATAAAGTGGGGTTTACACTCTACCTTCTTTCAGGTTTGAGAAACTGTATAGTAGTATTTGATTTAATATCTAAAATGCAACTCAAAGCCAATTGTACATATATAAGTGTATACTTAGTAACCAAGTATTACTCTTACTGGCAGTGAAACATGACCGGTAAGAGTAAAGGATATCCGTAGGTTACTAGCATTTGATCACATGTGTATTCGAAACATTGCTCGTATATCCTGGGACCACTGAGTAAGTAACGCAGTTGTTAGGAAACGGGTACTAGGTAAGGATGGCAAATCAATTGATGAAGTGGTGAAACTTCATCAGTTGAGATGGCTGGGACACGTGTTACGTATGCCCAACGACCGACTGCCTCGATGTGCTGTTTTATGGTGTAGGAGTAGGTTGGAAGAAAGCTAGGGGTGGCCAGACCAAAATATGGCACAAGTTCATGAAGTCACTGACAAGTGGACTGAGCTATGTTGGTAGGTGTTGACTACCTGGTTGGGGACCACGAGATGATAGCAACCGATGGTTAGAGACCCTGAATGACATGGCTCAAAATCGTTTGCAATGGCGCAGGTGCATACACTCTTTGCGTTCTCCCAAATTTTGATCTCCTTATTCCTCCTTGTCTCTTTTTTTCTCTTCCCAAATTTATTTCACTGTATTATACTCTTTAAATAACATCTTCAAACCCTAATCTTCTCGATTACTGCTTATACTCTTACTACCTCTACCACTACGGAATTTGAATCGACAACTGCATTTCTGTGCTAATGAGGTGTGGCAACTCAAACTGATGTACGTACGTGCGAAGTTCTACGTTGTTACTGACTGAACCAAGCATTACATAACTCATAACTTAAAGGAGTCACTAATTTTATTCATTGCGATTATTGTATACCACAATCAAATAACAAATACTACCATTTTATCTGAACAACCATTTACTACACAATTCCTGTTTTTCTCGTGTAAATTTATGTGTGTGTAATTCTAAAAAGTATTGAATTGTAAATAATCATAATAATAAATCATACCATATAAATATATCTGTCTAAAAAGTACTTACAATTATTGACAACGGTTTTTTTTCAATGTATAATAACTTTATTAACTAACTTACTTTCTAGTTCTTCTTTGGCTTTACGTGCAGATTGTGAAATAATTCGATCTAAACGCTTTGTTTCTTCTTTAGATAATCGATTGTAAAAATCACACCATGTTTCATCTGGTCGACGACGAATATTAGATAAATGATGAAAATCTCGATTTATATATTTACGCCATAAATCATCATTCAATCCAACGAATTGCTAAGAAAACAATATATGAATAAGTTAATACAGAAATCTTGTGTTATATTTAAAAATTACAATTTTAACAAATATTATCTGGAGATAGATCTGCTACTTGACATGAATTACTTAAAAACAACCGTCCAGATAAAACCACCATCAGTGAAGCAATGAATTAGTGGTTAAAATACTAAGCTTTCAACCAGTATGTCGTAAATTCGAATTTCACCCTATCCCTACTTCAGTTTGGCCAATCGGTCGACGTGGCTCAAAGTCAAATATAGATAAAAATATGTACTCGGTGATTGATATAAGAAAACACCATCACCAGATATTCACAATAGAAATGAGAAGAGCATTCAAGCTGCCTAAGTATTACGAACAATATGCCGTTGAGTATCCACAGTAGCTAAGAAATGAAGTCGTCACCTAATCATACAAGTCGGTCAGTCAATCATATACACCGTAAAACCTGAGACATACGTGCATTCATTCGAGTTGCTACAGGATTAACACAGAAAATGAACTGAATATGTTTTTGGTTATATGACAGTAAAGAAATACTCTTGACTGTTGAGCGACTGTGATTGACTATTAGACCAAAATTAGAATATTATAAGTTAAAATGAATTTTTAATTAAACATGAAGTAGTGAAACTCGACTGTTCGATAACTATATTACTTGAATTAAGTAAGGAAATTCCCCAACAGACTGACTTTTATTTTCCCCATATAAACCGAGTTTCGGTTAAAGCGTGTCGATTACTGAATGATTTAGAAATTTTCAAGAGTACAATTAGCGGGAAGTGATTATTAACTAACAGTTAGAAGCGAAACGAACTAGATATTAATCTCCTAACAAAACTAAAGACGACAATCATCACAGTGATGAAAACATGTCTAATAGTCGTTACCCGTAAAAATGGAACAAATATATATGCATAATAATAAAAACATTTTACAAGTGCTACTTTAATTTGTACTAGATTGTAATGCAAATAAAAAAATTAAATTTTAAATCTAATGTTTATTTTTGGAATAGATTTTCTAGCTCTGTTTACAGTTCGTCGAGACATCATCAGCACAAACTCGAAATGGTGGAGAGCTATTTAAACTTTCTACATATGACTAACAGTATGCCCTGTTGATCTCAATCGTGATTAATTGTTATTGATCCTTGCTCTGTTGTTTCCTGCAATATTTATTAGTGTATCTAAACAATGACGGACAGAAATTACCAACATAGAACCTGGTATATATATGCACTGACCCAGGTCACCATGCCGTCGAGATAAAAATAAAATACGAGATCGAAGTAATGCAGTGCTAATGATAAAAAGAAAGGATAAACAGTGGGACTATGATTTCAAGACAGAGCGGAAAAATATTCATGAATGGATACTGCGATTCAATATCAAGGGGAAGTCTCCAACTACAGAGGATTACGGTTATCACATGGACCTCAACCGAGTAAATGTGGACAATGACAGGAACCAATTAAATTTAGTGTAGAAAAAACAAGTTGTCAGTCATATGTGGAGAAATTCAAATAGCTCATTTAGTTTAGATTAGTTGATTAGAAACCAAGAGTATAACTTACTGGATTGTAACGTTCAATTCTGGTCAAGTCATCCACCGAGGCACTACGTAAGGCTTTCGCTAGCAATTCATAAGGTACTTGTCCGAAATGATTAATATGACTTATATTACGAGCCAATACATCAACGCAAAGATCAATTAAACTGGGAGGATCAAAGAAACCAGGAAAATTATCATATGAATTCGAATGATTGTTAGGAGGTAACGATGAACGGTTTTGTTTTGGTACCCAAAGAACTTTCTTTGATTTGAATTTCAAATCTCCATTATCGAAATCGTCTTCCACTGAAAGTTGTTTTTTTTTTAAAGGAAAACACAAACTGCAATTAAAGTGTACTTCTACACATCAAAAAAATATATAACGTTAATGTAAATTAAACTGAATAACTAAGTCAATCAGTACAATTTACTATACATAAATGAATCAGTCCACGTTGTTGCAAAGAATGAGTAAGATTAACAGGATGGAAATCAAAGGAGTCTAAAACAATATAAGAGGAAGCGGAAAACTAAGTACACAAAGCGTCCAATATTTAGATTCAAAGGATCTGTACTACTGTGACAGATTTCAAGCCACTTTGAACCAAAGATATTTACATATACGCAGTTCTACCTCACTAGGAAGCTTAGGCAAGCATTGACTACACTTTTCACAAATGGTCTATCACTGAGTAGCGACCAATGTCATGCATTTCAATTCCTTCTTAGTGCTTATAAAACCAAGTTACACCAGTTTAAGTGACTCGACATCGCGTGCGCGATGTTGAGATTTAAGGTGGTGTTTGGAGGTAGATTTCCCACAGAAGATAGGTAGTGGCCCGGAGAGTTTGGCAGTAACGTCTTAGACTGTGAAGCTGAGTGATACGCCATCGAATCCGCCAGGGAGAACACGTCGCCTCAAGATTACAGGTACACCTTGCTAATGAGTGGCAAATAGCACGAAACCTAGGCTCAGAGTTTCTTGTCCACTACTTCCAAACACTAAATTAGTGAATAAGAACTTTCGTCTAAATTTGAACGAATAGTTTCACAATATTTGGGCGCCGAGTTAATGTGAGACATTAAAAAGAAGAATATATTTGTAAAATCTCAGCGAATGAATTTTAAGTAAATCCAACGTTTCGTCTGGCAATCTGGTCCAAGCTTTTTCAAGGAAAATATAATCAAACAACAAAATTATCGAACTATTCGAACGGTTCCACAGCTTAGATGACAAAATCAAGTTTACTAAAGAGTTGGAATCGCCTGAACGCAGATTACCTTTTCTAGACTGCCTGGTTGAAAGGAAGGATAATGATTGTTTAAAAATTAATATATTCCGAAAGCCTACATATTCAGGGAAATTTTTAGATTTTAAGTCTGCGCATCCACACTCGACCAAAGTGACAGTGGCCAAAAATTTGATCACCAGAATAAAAAAAACTTGTCACTGAACCAAATGACATAAAAATGGAAATGAATTTAGTTGTATCCACTCTATTAATGAATAATTATCCGAAAGGTTTTATTGAAAGAATAATTAAGAATGAAGAACGGAATGATATTTAAAAAAACAGAGTTAAGCAAGATTGGATGAACACAGTAGTGATCCGATATCGTAAAGGTATCTCAGAAGACATCAGAAGGATTTTAACTCGTCAAAATATAAGTGTATTCTTTCGAACAAACAATACTCTAAGATCAAAACTAGTAATAATCAAAGATCCAATACACAAGGATGATCAACAGAATTGTGTTTATGAAATCAAATGTAATGACTGTAATGCAACGTATGTAGGTGAAACATCAAGGCAACTGAATATGAGAGTGAAGGAACACAAACTGTGCTTAAAGCACATTCCTAAATCCTCAATTGATGTAAAAAAGCTTGAGAACAGATCAGCGATAGCATTACACTCGATTGAATCGGGTCATACAATTGATTTCAATGGCACGAGAATCACTCAAAAAGGATTTAATTCTTACAAAGAACGACTAACAGCCGAAGCCCTACATATATGGGCTAATTGAAACAATATTAATAGGAGAGATGGAATACAACTAGCTGTCCCATGGCAACTAATAATTAATAAGTAAACCTGATCTCCTTTTTGCAATTTGATATATCTATGCCATAGTAACTAACTGATAGATAATACGTTCAATGATTCAGATCCGTTATCTTATCTGAATATGCTAAATAATTGACTGGAACATTAAAAATAACACACACTTTCAATTACATGCATATTTCTCTTTTATTTTGTTTACTTATCTTCATTTAATGCAGGCTGTGGCATTTTTGATTCATTTCATATATAAAAATGATCTGTTTTCTTAATATACACAGACCGTAGTCAATATTTAGTTGAATGAAATTTCTTCTCACATCACTTGCGCATAAACACATTCTGTTGTCTTAACACGTTTTGGTTGAAAAAGCAGGTGAAAATGTTTGCTATTTTGCAAGGTTCCATCATAAGCATAGGGTTTTTTAGAACTTTTTAAAGTCTATCATTATGTCCATTAAGCGAAATCTCACAAATTCATGTAAGAAGCGCTTCATCTGAAAAGGAAACCGTAGCCATGTTTGATAGCTACTAAGAGTTGTTTCGGTACAAATTAATCACTAGCACCAGGAAGCCATGTCGATAAAACGATCTGAGGTTGATGGTAAATCGATTAGCAACCATTGTCTCACTCATGTATTAACAGCCTGGTGAAGATTAGGTGACAATAATATGTGTATAGTTTCCCTCTGGTATAAGTAAATCACCTTACTGGCCAAATGATGTAAAACATACCATATTTGCCGGAGGGGATAAAGACGGGTTTCATTTAAACCGTAGGTATGTTAACCACATTTGTATCTTCCATCAAATGACTGAATTTGATGGCATATGCTACAGGGAATAATTGTCATCTGAACACAACTCTATGGAAATCTGAAGAACTAAATTTGGAGATTATCTGTGAAAGAGAGGTGTCTAGGAATGGTAGGCAGAATGAGAGGATATGATCATGCTCAAAAACATCGGAGAAGCTAATAAAAATTGCACAAACTTGTCACTTTTCTTGAATTTTGCCGTTGTCGATGTTTAAAAAACAGAAGTGTTGCGTAGATTTAATACCCGTAAAAATATGACAGACAGGTCACTCGAATTCCACTGAATTAATTGGTATAAGGAACACACTAAGTACTACTAAAGTGCAATATGTGCCAACACGACTGATAAAAACCTATCCACATACTTGCCTTTTGTGGCAAGGTGTTACTATTAGTCTGAAAATTTGTTTAAAAGTCTTGTAAGTGGTAGAAATGGTGTAAATAACTCATTTTTATATGAAAAACTAGGTTAGTTTACATCAATCAGAAGCACTATTAGAACAGTTAAAACTTCTGGTCACAGAAGGTTGGTTGTAAACGCTAGTGATGATGTTACGTCTGTGAAACCTGTGATTTTTAGACTGAGGATCCTCAACAATTATGTTTTATCATTATCTCCGAAGGACCAGTCAGCATACTGGGAACACTAAACAGGTTATTTGCAGGTCTAGTTTATGTTTTGACACAACCGAAACCTTCATTTAGTCATTAAACATGGATAGCACTCCAAAAGCTTTCATTCTGAACGTTCTTGACCGCCAATATGAGCGGACGGGAAATCATCCAAGTGGTTAGCATATAACACCACATCTACCATATTAGCTTGCCCCAAAAAGCCCATATACTTAAAGGTTACGTTTATTTGTTTGAGATAACAAGATGCAAACGAAAAAATCTCGTGTTCAAGACGTTTTTAAACCCAAATATGATTTATTTTACCTTGTCACTACAGCAAAAATGGTAGCCATTACAAGTTAGAAATGATCATTAATAAGATATAACCTTCTTTAAGATGCCTGAAGATTGAGATACCTATAAAAGAAGCCTGCTCATCAGATTTAATTGTAACTAGCTTTATAAAATTTACTCTACTCGGACACGAAATAGGACTAATTTCTGAAGTAATTTCACTTTTAAAATTTGTCATAATGTAGACATATCCAGAAAGATCGTGCAACGATGAAATATTCTCTACTACTTAAGTAAACGTGAACACTTTTTAACATTCGCTTTAGTTTTACAACTTACGAAGATATCAAATTTTGTATTTGTCAACAAGAAAAAAACCAAACACCTGGGAACCAGAATAAATAACGGCTGAGAAAATCGAATATACTTAAAAGATATTTGAATTCAACAGTTAAATGAAGGTAAGGTGGTGAATAAGCCACTTGACTAATAACCATTGGGTTGTAATTCAGAAATCCGCTGCAAATACATTAGTTGTCACATCCAATGTGATGCTCGAGGTCCATTACACAAACCTGGACTCGCCAGTTATCTACATTAAGACGAAAATTACTGAATCTGGAGTCTTAACTTTAATTAACTACTTAAAAAGCATATATGTGGAGAACTACTCACCTGTTTCATTTGGCTGAAAATTAGGTGGACGATGAACGACATCTGGACGACTAACTGGTTCAGAAAGTGATGAGATAATTTCTGCACTAAATGCTTCAGAAGGTCGAAGTGGAATATTCAGAGGAGTTATATCAAGCTTTCTGTCGACGCCCTGTTGAGAATCATCACTTGAAGCACTGGTTAGATTACACTTTTTCTTTCGATGAGTGCGAGTGTTTGCGTTGACATTTAATGAATCCATAAACGACATTCCACTAGAAGAGTCGATTGAGTCCACAATATCTGTAGACTTTCGTTTTTTGCTAGATGTCGATTTAATTTTACTATCTGGAAACTTATGGTTAACCTTAGAATATGAGCACGAATCGTCAGAAGTAGAACTGTTTGGAAGACAACCAGAAGTTGCAGCTGTGTGAAGTAGCGAATTATTTTGAGCATTTGGGACCACGTCATCTTCATCTAAATGTTGCACATTTCTCCCTAAATTATTCTCAGGACTTTTAGTCGAACTGATTGTTTTTTCACTGATAACCGACGCTGATTTGCCTCTACTTGAAGTCTGTCTGAGACTTTTGGATGCTTCATTAACATCACATTTTTCGGAATCCTTGGGTACACTGATATTTATGGATTCTTGTTTTATATGCTCACTGAGCAGATTTTTCCATTTTAATATAAGGGTACTAGCAGTTTTTCCAAGTTCACCGGGTTCATTTTTTAATTTACGAACAGCACGACCAACACCGGACTCTGATAACTCACTAAGAGTAAGCTTTACCTCATTGAGTGTACTTAGCACACGTAGTTTCTAAAAGAAAAAGTGACGAAACCTTTGTGTCAGTCAGTGAAGAACCAGTAGCTTGTGATAATACTGAGACGAGAACTGACGAGTGACGTGAAAACTGGATATATTTCAAACCACGTGCGAATTAAAATAAGAATCACATGAATAAAATAAGTCTGGAATGAATGTGCAGAATGAGGGTAATCAAAAGGATCAGTAAGGTATCACGAGGTGTATGCTTGGTAATGTATCTTGTACTATTTTATGAATGTGCTTTAACCAATGACAAAATATTTACGAAGTTAGGTGTCTACATATACGTTTCTATGAAGCATCGCTGTAGGATGATAGAACTACTGTCAGTTGTTGAAGCGCAGAACCAATTATACTAACCTTAACTTGAGTACTGAACGGGGTTTGTTCCCGTTAATTCGTACCGGAGATTTAATGTGAATAGCAGTAACAAGCAAGCTTCGAACCAGACCATGTGTTCGTTATTCTCCAAACAAATCTGTCAGAGATGAAAATAGGTCGTTTACGGATTCATCACTTCAAGTAATTACATTTCGAAGCAGAAGAAAACGAAATCTACTATTCTGGGAATATTAAAACGAGAATGCGGAGGTAGGGAAAATACACAGAATATTGAAGCGACAACGTTTGGAGGCTAAGTTGTGATTATAAAAATCCGTGGGTCATGTTATTAAGCAACCTAGACGACGAAGTATAATCACTCTAAGGACGCTACCAGGAAGACGACGCATCTCCAGACAAGTCTAATCACTACAATAACTTCTTAGATTACCATGCCTTGATTAAATTGAAGTCCAATTTTAGATTTTGTTCCTACTTCATTTAACGTTGAGGTTTCGTGTAAACAGTAACGCAGAATGTGTGGAATATGACCCAACAACTTCACAAATACTGATATGGAAAGAAAAGGAAAATGATATAGTAACCAAAACTCAAAACTGTTCTAGTGAAAGCCGCAAACAACATTAACTAGTCAGAATAATTTATATCCAAATCCATTGGGAGTATTTTGGTGACCTATACTATCCGAGTGGAATGACATTATCCGTGAATAAACACATTTAACCAGGTCCTTGGTTGCAAAGTTTTAGGATGAAAAAAAGATTTACGTGACAGGAAAATTAGATCTATTGAACTACTAACCGAACTTGTGTCAACCGACTTGTCTCCAAGGGTTTCACCGAACTTGACCAGAGCCGCTACCACACTAGCGCTCATTATCAGCTGACTAGATATTTCGAAATATCCACGTTTCAAACTTCAAATTTCAAAGCTTTGCCAAGTAGAATTACTGGACTATTTTCTCTTAGTGTTTGAGTGGTGTTAGATAACACGTTATTGTGGTAAGATACAATCTTTTTGGTATTGCTTTTCGAACTGGAAAGCGGGAAAAATCAGCTGATAATAGTAGAAGTCCTCTAGTTCCCAGTAATAAGGAAAGGGCGCCAGTGAACCTGTGTTGATCCTTGGGAACTGTTTTCCAGTAAAATTCCAGAATATCCTTCACACTGCTCCCTGATAGGGCTGATGCCACTTGTTCGAGTAAGATGTTCCAGATTCGGACTACTAGGTCAGAAAATGGAACCCCACTCTGAGTTTATGTGATCGCGGTTATCGAATGTTCTTGCTATGGCCTTGGAGAGTATTGGTTCCGAAGGCGAAAGGATGTGACATATCAAAGCCTAAGTCGTCACTAAACATACGGAATTCCAATATAATGTCACCTCCTTTTCAACGATACGATAAGGGGAAAGGGTTCATGTGTTTTAAGTGTTCATCGTAATGGAGTTTGGAAAGACCCTCCACTAACTTTTGTTCCTGCACGCTGAGCACGCTCGAACGCGGTAATATCCCTAATAAGACATGAACCGACTGCTTGGACAAAGTACTCTAGTTGTGATCTTATACCGTTGGGATATATAGTTCAAAGCATTTGAGTGCTCAGCAAAGTGACCGTATTGCTAGAAAAGCTTCGGTGGCTGCCGCGTTACAATGCACGATCGTTTTTAAACCATTACTTGTTGTTACCTCAACGTCTTTATGTTCCTAAGTGCGTGGAAGCGTTGTACCGTCTACAGAATACTGGTAACTATTAGCATGTCCGGTGTTCTAGAATTAATCTCTAAGCCCCATCTTTGGAACCATCTGAATAATTCGTCTTGGTCAGCCTGGAGATGCCTTGGTATGCACCACTTTTGACTGATTTCCGTTCAGATAGTGTCTCACTTACCCCCACTCTCTGTCTTCGTCCAAGAGGAAGTTTCTTATCTACTTTTGTGCGACACCCGTTATTCTAAATCGCGAGAGCTTCCGAATAAGACTCAAGTGGGAAACCTTATCAAATGCTTTGCTAAAGTCCATGGATAACACACCCAGAGATATATCATTATCTTGAGCTACTCTCTAATCATCTGTCACAGTTAGTAAATTGGCTGAACATGAATGTTTATTCCGAAACCCGTGATGCTTGGGAGTTAACAGAGTGTATGGTTCTATGTTACCTGAAATAAATTGTTTTTTCAAGTAACTTAATTACTATGTTAGTAAGGCCAACAGATCGGTAGCTAGACACGACCTATCTCTTTTCATAATTAAATTGGAGACTAAGTATGGCTTTTTTTCTGATCCCTAGCGAGTTGATTGTGTGAAAGGGACATTTTGAACCGAATCGTGAGTGGCCCCTGAAATAATGTCTGCAAAAGATGACAGGAATAGTGGATGCAACCCACCAGGATCTGGTGTCCTACTAGGTCTGGGGTTAATGGGGAATTGAAGGACAGCTTCCCCAGCCACACGTACGTGTTCTATAGCTGGTATTTCAGTATTGTGATTATTATACGTTATCAACAGTACCCGGTGAGTAGATTTCACTGAAGTAAATTGATAGAGTCCCAACTTTTGTCAGATCTTAATCAGCTAGTATATCTGACTTTTCGTGCAACAATAATGAAGAAGTACCATCACTACGCTTTCTTCTCCGTTTAATGGACAAAAACAGTCGTTTTGGGCAGGTAGGAATATCATATGCCGACTGTCCTTCAAAAGTGATGAGGCATCTATCTATGGCCTTTTTATATATATTCCGGATAGTTCGTTTTTCTTATTTAAATGGTTCGTGGCCTGTTGACGAGAACAAGTGCCAGAAGTGTTTCCTACGACTCGACAGCATTCGGGTTTCATTACTGATCTCTAGAGGGCAATGTGATAGCCTACGTGTTGACCATTGAATGAACGGTAATGTTACGGACTTGAATGTGGCTATAAACTAATCCCACTCGTCTTCAATCGACCCATCTGCTGCGACTGACCAATCTTTTGAGATAGCACAGTCTCCATCTGGTTGACATAAGGCGCGTTGAAACCTCCAATGATGAAACAATAAACTGCCTAACGCTAAGAGCAGATACAACTAAAGACAAAGTCGACAGTAAGACAACATAGACTATGGTATATTCCTCTCATAGTTGCTAACCGATGTCTAGATTTAATTTTACAACAACCTATCCCATATGTACCACTATCATGCGCCTCTAATGTGCACGATTGCAAACGAGAATAATACACGAGATACAATTTTATGCCCCCTCCCATGCGACTTATAACTATCGCTTCTAATACAGATGTATCTTGCAATAATTAGAGAATACTCTGCGTCTAGTATGAGCCATATTCCTTTGACAACAATTAAAAAGAGACTTAGTTCACACGCCATCAAACTTAGTTTGGACATTTTATCTATAAAACTATGAGGGCTTACGTAGCATACATTTAGGTTATTTCACAATCACTCGTTATACCCATAGACGGTCCGAAAGGATTGGCTTTCAAGACCCGACTACTCGAAAACCCTGGATCCTAAGATTTGTTGCTCTAAGTTTCTTTCCGGATTTTAACACAGAAAGGGTAATCACCCATTTAACACAATTCTTAATTGACTAATCTGGTCGGATACTAATGTTCGAATTATGAGTTTTGTATGCGATATTAAGTACAACGTCCCTTTTCTCGTAAATTCCGAGTACCAAGTTCAAGTACTTTTACCGTTGAGTCTCGTCTCCATCTCGCTTACCGAGTCTTATCACTTTAGTAATATATTTTACGCAAACCTCTACCTATGATAGCAGATTCCACAAACTTCAGTCGTGTATATGCCTTATACTAAGGTCAATTTTACTCCTTCAGATTCTAAGTATCTAGACTAAAAACGAGTTTGACTTCTTTTAAAGTCGTCTTCGCGGCTTTTAATAGTGCTGTTATTTGCTGCTTGCTAACTAATGAGAGCTTTTCTTAAGTTGTTTGTGGATCAAAGTCGTTTGACTCGAGGATATTACAGTAATATTTTATGATATCAAGATTTTTCCAACCACGCCAGGGTTAAATCCAGTCTAGCTTTGGGAACTTGGTGCAGTATTCTGTGACTCGGAGTGTCAGTCTACCGAAGAATTATCAAACAAATAGGTGCTCTTTGCAGCCACGTTTCCTTCTCTCCTTTGTTCCCACACCACTGGTTTCCTGTCAGTTGGAACAGCCGTACCGCGACCACTTGAGATAGAGTAGTTTTTATCTCAATCTTCATTTACTACTCTGTAGTCATGAACACGGATATCTAGTAGTATTTCACCTTTTATTTGCTTTAAAACATAAGTTTGCTTTTTCATGTTTCAAAGCCGGGTGTTTGGCACGTCCGTAACATCACTAACTACACTAACATATTCTTCGCTGTCAGTATTCATATTACGAGTCCAGCCTTTTCCGACTACCTTGCTGGTCAACTCCAGACGTATAGTTGTTTGGACAGCGAAACATACAAAACCAAAGTGTTGGGGATGCTTGATCCCCAGAACTCCCTTGGTAAACATCTTACTTCTGTAACTTTATCTTAGAGACTTGAGTTTCTCATTTTTGCGTCAAGGATACCCACGTCTGTCTTCAGATTGTATTTCTAACTTGAAAGTACCCTAAATGTCATTGGTGCGTTGTTTTTTAATGTGCTGTTTCGTGACGATTGCCATGGTCATTTTTTAGCTGTATATATACGCCCAAGTTGTGCTTGTTGTTGTTAGTACTTCTGACTGCTTTTAGATTATACATCCCCCTTCTGGACCTGGAATTCCCAATGAAGTTAGAGGAGCGGGTGCTCATCACACTAGTTAACTTATCTTGTCATTGTGTCGCTGAGTCTTCGTTCCTTTCGCAGACTTAGGCGGTCTCGTAATCTCTTCAAACATAGTACAAAGGAAGCTAAGCTTTGTGCATCTTTAGACTGCAGTTGGGTTTGAACGAAAACACATCTTGTGGAACCATTTTTTACATTCATCACATCGCCTTCCTCTCTCAACAACGGGCAAACAGTCTGGATATGCAAATTTATGAGTGAAGCCAAACATTTAAAAAGAAGTGAAAGGAAAAAACTTGATAAACTACACAGCATAATCACTTGTGTGATAACTAAATAGAGTACCACATAAGGATTTCGAGAAAATTCCGAATCTTAACCGGAATAATTAAGGTCAACAGAATATTCTTTTGATGCAATAACCGCACGAAAGCGAAGTTATTTCACAACAAACAGAAAACTACTACCATTTTTTAAAACGCGCTTAACACCTTGAGTAATACCTTTCGATACCAACAAAATTAAAATAAGCTTCCAACCCTCTTCTGAAAGGTTCTGTAGAAGGTGACGATACTGTCACAGCTCATGGGCGGTTTCTCAGTTTATTCATTACAGCCAGGGCAACCTTTGTGAAGAACTGGTTCATGTGTTATACAGAAAGAAAATCTTTGTTGGTATAATCTATCATTGATGATTTGTCAGAATGAAGGAGACTATGGATGCTGGAGTGCAATAAAGACGTCAACATCTGCTCCACTGACGAAGAGTTAGAGAAGTTTCGTCACCACATCAGTGATATATTTAGGACGGCCATATACACTAGCTTCGGTTGTTGCTAACGTGTCCCGGCAAAGTCATTTCTCGAAAGGTTTGTTGTGATAGTATGTCCAGAGTTTGGGCAACTTCAGGGATTCCTGCGATTTTCGGAAGATTTACCATAGGTGTTGTGCTATCAACACAAGACAGTGTTATCTGCTTCTTAAGGTCCAGAAATAGATCTTTTTCGTGATGAGCTTCCTCAGGGTGTTTTGGATCATCTTAGATTTTGAAAAACGGTACAGGAAGAGTCGATAGCATTGTGGTGTATTCTACACATGTCTGTCGACACAAGTAGTATGTTACATTGATCAGAAGTGGAA